CGGGGCAGGGGGAGGCGGTGCCGCCGCCGCCGTGCAGGGACACACACACCGGAGCTGTGCGAGCCCCGGTGCTGCAGCGCCCGCTCCGCTCCCGGGACCGCTCCGCCATGGGCGGCCGGGCTGAGCGGCCCCGCTGACCCCGCACGGCCCGGCAGCAGCTCCGGCATCCCTGCAGCTCCGGACTTCGCTGTCCCGGGAACTCCGCTTCGCTGAGCCGGGCTTCTCCATCTCTCAGTACTCCGGCATCCAGGGAACTCCGCACTCCACCGGCTCCGCTGCCCTTCACCGCTGGTCCCGGCACCTCGGGAATTCGGTACTCTGTCATCCCGGGCATTCATCTCCGCTGTCCCCATCTCCTCCATAACCCCGTGCCCCACCTCCCCGGAAAGCCATCTCCCCATCCCAGGCTCATCCTCGGGCACCCCGGGAACTCAACTCTCGGTCACCCCGGGAATTCATCCCCTCTCAGCCCCTCTCCCCCGTAACCCCTCGGCACAGCTCTCCGGGAAATCCAGCTCCGCTGATTCCTGCTCCTCAGGAATTCGCTGCTGTGTGAGCTCGGCTCTGCCGATCCCGCATCCACAGCCCCGTATCCCAGCTCCCCGCGAACTCCTCTCCGCTGACCGCGGCTCCTCCCAGGGAACTCATCCCCCTGTTCCCACCTCCTCCTGACCCAGTGCCGCCGCTCCCCGGGAGCCCAGCTCGGCTCTCCCCGGCTCTTCCAGCTCCCCGCTGCTCCGGCTGCCCGGGGCTCATCTCCTCTGACCCCAGCTGCTCCAGGAGCTCCCATCCGCCGCATCCCGGAGATTGCCTACTCCCAGCACCCCAGCACCGACCATTTCTCTGCTCCCTGGCACTCCAGCTCCCCCCCTTAGCTCCGTTCCTCCTCGGAGGCTGCTCGTACTCCCCATCCCCATCTTGCCGAGAGCCCGGCGGTGACCCGGGCTGTCCCAGCCGCAGATCCGCGCTGCCCCCCGGCCCCCCGGGCCCCCGAAGGCGCGGCCATGGCGTTCATGGTGAAGAGCATGGTGGGGGGGCAGCTGAAGAACCTCACGGGGGGCCTGGGCGGCGAGGAGAAGAGCGAGGGCGAGAAATCTCCGGCCGAGGCGCAGGGCATGACCCGCGAGGAGTATGAGGAATATCAGCGGCAGCTGGTGGAGGAGAAGTGAGTGCGAGCGGCACCGGCACGGGCTGGACCCCCGGAGCCCCAGGGGGAAGGGGCTGCTCCCGCTGCAATCCCGCATCCCGTGCGTGGGACGTGGGGGGAGCCAGCGCTGGGGACAGCAGGACCGTGAGGGGGTTTCATGAGCCCCCTAATCCCTTAATCCGCTTCCTCACCCGGGAGATGGAATTGTTTTCTCCTTCCAGGCTGCGCTGGGGGGGAGGAAACTGTGGGAAAACGGGACTTTTCAGAGAAAATGGGGGATGCTGAGGTTGGGGGCAAGCGCAAAGCCGGGGATGGAGGGCACGGGCTGTTGATAAGTGCCCCGTGTGCTCCGCAGGATGGAGAGAGACGCCCAGTTTGCCCAGCGCAAGGCGGAGAGAGCCACGGTCAGGTCCCACTTCCGAGACAAGTACAGGCTCCCCAAGGTATGGCTGAGCTGGGAACGGGGGGCACAAGGGGACCCAAGCTCCGGACGGAGCTCTGGAGGGAAAGGGACAAGGACCCCCCTGGCTGGCTGGGGTTTGAGCCTCAAAGCCCAAACGCAAATAAATTCCCCTCAAAAACCATCATTCTCCCCAAACTTTGTCCCCTTTCCTTCCCCCCGGGCACCACAGACCACCAGCCCGAGACAGTGGGACCCCCAGCCTTGCTTGATCCCCCTCTTCCTCGCTTTTGCCCCCCAAATCCAGCTGGGTGAGGGAAAAGCACCTTCACCCCAGACTCCCTGGAGCCGGCAGTGAGCCTCTCTGGCTGGACTAGCCAGCTCCTCTCCCCGGATTATTTGGCGAACCTCTCCCACCTAAACTCCAATTTTGGAATTTCCACACCACGAACGATTCGTTAAAAACAATTTAATCAAGAGATAATTCAGCCTTTCTTGGAATTGTCACAAACTCTTCTCCCTCCAAACCCACCCTTTATTCAGGAAGAGTCGCTCGGTGGTGAATACTCCAAATTGGAGCCGGGCTAATATTAGTTCCGAAGGGTCAGCTAAGCCAAGTGAGATTGCTCTGATTGTTCGGTGTTGTTCAGCCAGCCCCGGATTCACCCCCCTGCTTCCCACCCCCCTTTTAATAGCCAGGAAATAAACAGCTGGAGAATTTCTTTTACCCCCTGCCAAAAGCCAGAAAAGCCAGAGAAAGACGAGATGGAGATTTTTTTTATTCTCCGGGGAAAACTGGGATTTGTTTGGATCTGGCCCCACCATCCTTTCACTGCCTTCTCGTGCTTGAGATGTCCCTTCTCATCTTTTGACAAGTTTCTTCTGCTCATTCTTGATCCCGCTTGGCAGCCAGGCTGCCTCATCCCGAGTCTCCCCGTGGCTCCCGGCTCAGAGCTGATCCTCACCGCCGCTGGGAGCCGTCGTTAAGCATAAGCGCAACTTAATTAAGTGCCTGACCCCCCGTAACGCGAGCTGGAAACCAGTTTGTATTGGTGCTGAGCGTGGGTTTCCATCTCGGCTCTCGCTCAGCCTGGATCAACATCCTCCCTTCCCGCACGGCCCTTGGAGTGGGCAGACAGCCCAAAGCCCCTCCTGTGATGCTCGCAGAGGCTCCCTTCCCTCTGTGCCCCCTCCTGACTCTCTCCCGGCCCGTTCCAGAACGAAACGGATGACAACCAGATCCAGCTGGTGGGAGGCGACGTGGAGCTGCCCAAGGAGCTGGCCAAGATGATCGAGCAGGACAACGAGGAGGAGGAGGAGAAGAACTCGGTTATCGGCCAGCTCAGCAACATCCAGAACCTGGACCTTGATTCCTTGAAAGACAAAGCTTCGGCCACGCTAGAGGACCTGAAGCAATCGGCGGAGAAATGCTCCGTGATGTGATGGGGCTGAGCAGGGAGGGGACGCAGCGCAGGCTCTGCCGGGGGCTGCTGCCTGCAGCGGGGCCCCCAGCCACGTTGTCACCTTTGCCGTGTGTCACTCGGCTCCTCCTGAGCCCTGTGACCCCCTCGAGTCCCTGACCCAGCTGTCCCTGATGTGTGGTTTTCGTTTCGTTCTCCGGGCTGAGGTTAGAGCCGAGAGCCAGCATGTCCCCCCCGTACCCCAAAGCCTCCCCCGTGGCCGGGCAGGGGGTGTCCGCAGCCAGAGCCCAGGAGGCTGCAGGGAACGAGAGCGACCTTGGAGTGTTATTGACCTTGGAGCACGCTGTGGCTCTGCCTCCACCTTTCCACTCAGCCTCCTGGAAATGACCGGGAGGCTCCGATTCGCCTCGCAAGGACGAGGCAGGGTGTGGAACACCTCCCTCCCCGCTTCCCCAGCCCATCGCCCGAGAAACGACATCCCATCCCTGCAAGGAACACCCAGCCCCGTGCCCTTGAGGGCCCCTCCGGAGGAGCCAGCCCGGAAAGGACCTGCTACACGATCCCTGTGAGAAGGGAGGGTGCTGAAGCCTGAATTGACACCAGACAGGAGCAAAAGCCCTTCCCGGTGCTGAGCTGAGCCCGCAGCAGCCCTTCCCCGAGCAGTGCTGTCCCTCTCCTGGGATGGGATCCTGTCTTTGTTCCTTCCAGGAGAAGAACAAAGCCATGAGGGAATTTCTCCCCGTCCTCCCGCTCGTCGTGCTGTAGTCGTGCTGTGCTCGGTTGAGTGTCCCTCACCTCCTGTGCTGTCCCCGTGCCATGGCACTGTTATAACCGGTGGAATAAATACCAGGAGATGTCTATGCATTTCTTTTTCTCCCCGAGCTCTGTTTTCCCGGCTAAATTTTCCCGTTTTCCTGGTTTTGGGGCTCCCCTTCCCGAGGCAGGGACAGGAGCTCCAAGGAAAACTCCGTGGCAGCCGAATCCCGAAGAAAGCACCTCTCACGTTTGGAACCAAAGGGATGCTACGAGCAGCTCGTTGGCAGCAGTCGGGTTTAAAAGCAAACTAAACCCCCGTTTTTCCGCAGATTTTTTGGCTATTTCAATAGAAAACCTTCAGAACGCTCAGTCTCACGGGCACCGCGGGATGTCCAGTGCACTGCTCCAAGCAAGGACGCTCCCTGTGCTAGTGCAGGTGTGACTCCCAGCCCCGGCAGCATCCCGGCAGGCAGGGGCCTCCTGTAGTGAGGCTTCCTGGAAAAACTTGGCCCAGGCTGGGAATTTCTCGCTCCAAGTCCCGTGGGAGCTGATTAACTGCAGTTTGGTTTTGCAGGGGAGGATGGGTCATCCAGGAAAACGCAGGAGAGGGTGCTGGGAAACTGATATTAATTATTTATTATTATTATTATTATTATTATTATTATTATTATTATTATTATTATTATTTCTTCTGGATCAAGCCTTGGCTGGGGCTTGTGCCCCCCCAGCCCCCCGATAATCCTGTGCCAGGGCCAGGTGGTTCTGGGGAGCTCCTGAGAGGACAGACACACAGACAGAGGCAGCTCAGGTGTGGACACACATCTTCACAGCCCTCCAGCCCCTGGGACCGGGAGACTCCAGCAGCTCCAGGGACATCTGTTCCCGTCAGATCCCAAATCCAGCCGGGGAGAAGCGAGAGGGGAGATTGGCAGCGGCAGTTTTAGCTCTGGAAGGAGATCATACCTGATGAGGATCAGGCCGAGCTGATCTAATCCCCACCAGGAAAGGGATAGCAGGGAGCAGGCACGGCCCGAGCCCTTGGAATTTAAATCCCGAGCCCACGGCAAGGCACCATCAACCCACCCCACCGGAGAGCGGGATCCCAGCCGGAGCGGGAGCCACGGGGATGCAGCCCCGCCGTTCATCCCCCCCAAAAAGCAGCCAGGATCCTCTCCCGCACCTTTTCCTCGGCTTCCCCTTCCCCTGCCCCCCGTGCCCGACCCCCGGGCTGTGCTCCGCGCTCTCCCGGCCCACGTGCGGCCACGCAAAGGCCGCGTGAAGCTCGGCGGGTTTATTTTAGGAGGCACCGTGACCCCCGGGCATGTGAAAAGCCAGGCAGCCCCCGCTCCTCCCGCCCGGATCCCGCGATGTGTTAAGCCTCAGCAAAGCTTCCCCGGCAAAGCGAAGCAGAGGCAGCTCCGAGGATGCTCCTCCGAGGCTGCATCCCTGCTCCCAGCGCTGGGCGGCCGGCTGTGCGGGGAGAGGCTGGGATGGGGGCAGGAGAGGCTGGGATGGGGGGATGAGAGGCTGGGATGGGGGCAGGAGAGGCTGGGATGGAGGGAGGAGAGGCTGGGATGGGGGCAGGAGAGGCTGGGATGG